TGCCCCTCTCACTCATGGGCTTCAGTACAAAAATCCTGAACAACATGGAGGCAGCCCTCACCCAGCAGTGGTGATGCACCATGCTTCACCCTGGAGCTCAAGGGTGGTTAACAGACAATAAAGATAAGTATCAGTTATCAGGTTAATTGACTAAAAGAGAAAACTCACATCATTCCAGTAGTTTCAGAAAATGCATTTGATAATATTCAACATGTCATTTATGACACAAGAAATTAAATGCTTGATAGCAATGAATTTCCTGAATCTGATCAATATATCTACCAAAAACCCTAGGAAAACTTAATTCTTCGTAGTATAAAAGCAAGATCTGCTTATATCATTTTAATGTTTTACCACGTGTACATATAGCCCTTTTCAAAATTTGTAACGTTTTCTATATAAATAAAATCCCATCAATAAACTTGTATAAGTGAAAAGAATGTCATTACTTGTTTTTTCCAGAAACCCAGCTTTTGGATCCCAGGGTGAACAGTTTAAAATCACTGAGTAAGTTAAACATTTTTCTACCTTTGAGGCTGTTTGAACTGACCACAGGAATTCAATTTTGCGGGTTCATCCAGTGGGTTCATCCAGCCAAGATCACCTAGGTTCACAAGCCGAGTTCTTCACCTTTGGTTAGAACATCAACTCCTGAGATAATCAGATGGAAAAAAATAAACCATAGCCCCAGAAAACAAACACTCGTCGTTCGTGCACACAGTTCCAAAGGTTCCTAAGGAGACATATGACCACGGTGCCTGCCAAGCCCAGGGACTTTTTCCAGGGGCCCTGCCCAGCCAAGTCCGGCCCACACCTGGACTCCAAGACAAGGTGCCTCTTTCCACTCAGTCACACAGTTATCCCCAGGGTCACAGGGCCCTCTCTGTCGGTCTGAACTGGTCTTCACTGTGCCCGGTGCTATGACACACCATGGGCACAAAGTGTGAACAAGACTATGATGGAGGGCACCAGTACCTAGGTGGGGGGCCCACACAAGCAGACTCCTCCAAAGGTGTCCAGAGGTTGGGGAAGGTAGAGATAATGGGATCCTGAGACACTGGGGGGATGGTGGGCTTCCCAGACGAAGTGACACCGCTTGCACTACCATGGACAGAGCAGTGCTTGCCAGAAGGAGAGGAGAGAGCGCTTTTCAGGCTGTGAGAATGAGCCAACTGGCCGTCGCTGTCATTGCTGAGTATGTCTGTCATCGCCTGGTTGCAAAGCACAGTGTCTGAATCAACCGAATATTTATTATTGCTAGAAAGGAAGTGACAGATCACAGGTTCTGTCTTTATAGGGACAAGGTTCCAGCCTGAACAGGTCAGCAGGGAGCTGAAGACTGTGCAGGGCCTCTGGAAACGGACACTGGGCTTCACAGGCGCCTTAGTGACCTGTCTTGTATGTGTCAGGGGACATTCCTGGGATTTTAAAAATTTCACTGTGATAAAATTCACATGACATAAAGTTAACCATTTTAAACTGAACCATTT